AAAACAAACTAAACAAACAGCAGGCGCTTAACAAAGAAGGATCTAAACTCAGTACCTAAACAGCTATAACCCCATGTTCCTTGAAAAGCAAAGCACAAAGGTAGCCGGCAATCGATAGCACAAAGCTAATAGTGGCCACTATTGCTGTACACACTACCAAATGAATCCTAATGATATGGATACGAATAGGAATTGGTGCCGTACCCATCAATTCCTATCCATATCATTCGGCGGTTACTGGCATTCAGCAATACGTGCTCTGCCTTCTGCTGTGAAACATTGTGTAACTGCAGAATTTTCGAAACACGCGGCATCAGGAAGCATCAAGAGCATCAATAAGTATACAATGAGCAGCAGCCATAATCTGTGCTTATCGATGCTCTCCATGATATTTGATGCCACGGATGTTGACAAGTCTACAGTTGACACGTTACATCGCGGGAAACAAAGAACATTTGGGGTCACAAAAATCGGCTTTGCACGGGGGAAGCGTAAACCAACCAACTGCTAACTATTGCCATATGGGGTTAAACGATCACTATCATGACACCTTTTCTTGAAACATTTGGGTTTTCTTGGTTGTTTCTCTGTCGTGCCTACTATGAAGAAGAAACTACACAATAAACGAGATGCACAAGACAAGGCTATCTTTTTCTTTCAATCCCAGCGGTTCCGATTCATGAGTTCGGCCAAGCTTTCCTCGACCGTGATGTGCTTGTGCAAAAGATTGCCAACATTTGCTACTCGTCTAACTGCTCGCTTGGAACCGTCCGTGCGCTTCGCCTATGATACATTTGGAATGAGCCTTTAATAATACTCTTTTACGGAGCAGGTTCAACAAAGCCTTCACTCCATGTGAGTGCATCCTATTCCTTTCATAAATGCGATGATTAACATGACTTTATGATAAGAAGACTGATAATCACAATAACCAAACTTGACCGTAAAGAGTTATGTTACAGAATCGCTAAAATTATGCAGTGCGAGGGTCAGCCATTATCTCCCC